TTTTTTCATGAAAAAAGTGTGCCTTTGCACAAAAAGGTTGAAAAACACTGAGCTAAAGGATATCAGGACTTAATGTTAATGGAGGATTTTACAAATAAGTAAATGAAATGCCAGCATATGGTTGTGTATTAAATCTTGGTATATTTTAGGATGAAGGACGTTTAAATAACTATAGTCAAATAAAAGTGGAGTCATGATGATAGTAATATAATAAATATTTGAGTTGATATTTGAATTAATATGAATTATATTTGATGATGGTGGAAGAGATGCACAAAAGCCTTTTGTAACCAGCTGATACGTTTTCTACAGTATGTAAAGAAGGAGGATTTGTATGTTTGTTTTGAAAATAAAAAAAAATTACAAAAAAAACCAAAAAACAAATGTTTGTAAGTTGAATCAAGACCATTAAGGATATCCACCAATGGATTCTCAAGGGTTAGGGTTAGGCATGATTTGTATGATTCCTTATTAGTACTGTCTCTTAATGACTGGGAAAGGAAAGTTAGTTACTGCTTCTGTTAAAGAAGCCTTAAATAATGATAATAATTACATTCGGTTCACCGACAAATGCGCACACGACAAAAGCACACTGACAAAACCGCGGCGAGAAAACTGTGATGTCGAAATCGCGCCCACATAGGAGCGCTGACAAAAGAGCGCCGACAGAAGCGCGCCATCAACAAACAACGTGAAAACAACATAAGAACCCTAAACCTAAACCTAACCCTTACCTTAAACCTAATCATGCTTCTGTCGGTGCTCTTTTGTCGGGTCACGATTACATTCATTACATTTGAATGTCACCTGACTCCTGTTGACTCGCCAATCAATTGCAAATCAGTCAGATCAACCAGATCATACCATGACACAATGCCAAGCACTGAATGTATCACTTGGATCTGCTGTGGCCTGTCGACCACCAGCCCCTCTAGCAGCCAAATCAGAGGAGGAGGAGGAGGGGGAGGAGGAGGGGTCAGAATCAAGGCAACCTGAGAGCTCCGAGGGGAAAGAAGGAATGGAGCTGGCAGAGAGAGAGCCTGGGCTGTCCATCAGCCCTCAGATGGAGAGTCAACAGCCCCCAGGTCGAGGTGGCTGACGAGGAAGAGGCAGAACAGCTGGGTCCAGTGCCTGATGCACGGATGCGCAGAAGGCAGAGAAGAGGAGAGCAGTGGAAATCTATGACCCAATCCTTGGGAAGGAAGAGCCACTGCTACTAGTGAAGCCCCACCCTAGCTCTGGGGATAAAAGGCAGGTGGCAGAGATAAATAGATGTGGCAGACGGATTTGTTAGTCTGTGATGAGAGATAAACTTTTTGCCGGGGCTGCCAGTAAAGGAATCTTTTGAGTTCACTTTAGAAGGTTTGTCATATTTGGGGAGCTGGGTCAGAACTGGACCACTACTCCTGGCCTAGACAAATCAATGATTTGTCCCTTGGAAATGTTCCCCCATACCTATGACTTCATAAGGAAATGGAAGTGGGGAGAAGAGAGGGGAATACAAAAAGCATCTTTTTCTACTCACCATGATTTTCGGTTTAATATCAAAATCCTTTTGACCGCCAACCTGGATATATTTTTTCATAAGACTGAAGTTGTTAAAACAACAGATAAGCAGGCCACTGCTGTTTGTTCTCAGATTAAAATCTACATCTTCACAGAAATACCTATGCAAATGGACATAGATTTACATACAATTATATAATCTGATGCTCTCCAAATAAGTTGATACTACAGTCCCTAGAATTTCTCTTTGATATTAGATACCCTCATTGAGATTTCATAGAGCTGAAATCTTAGCTGAAAATCATAGGCTTAGGAAGCTAATTAAGACTTCTAGCTTAGAATTGTACAATACAAAATCACAGCAAAAGGTTCTATATGTACAAATATTTTACAGTTAACACTCCATATAATTTACACATTAAGATACAGTCACTTGCTTAGAGGTTTCACCTACATCACCTCCCAAATAAAACACCTAAAATAATGTTAATCCAAAGTTACTTCTTCCTGCCAGATAGCCCCTGGGAGGACAAATAAATTTCCTTGGTCCCAATTCTGAACCTTGGATAGTAAATGAGTTTCAAATTAGAAAATGAATGAAAATATTCATGGAGAAAGTGTTTGGTTACAAGACAATTTTCTTCCATGCTTGATTTCTGTTCCATACAATGTCCCAAGCTGCCAAAGAAGGAAGGTAAAATTAGCACCAGGCAGAAAAAATATTTTTCCTCCTCCTCCTTTCCCCATCCCTTATTAGTATTGATTTAACCTGATGAAATAAAATTCTGATCAAAATCTCATGGATGAAATAAGATGTTCTTGCACCTGAGTTTTCTACAAAGTGCTCAAGAGGAACGAAGGCAAACCTTCTGCCCTTCACTGTCCATTCCTCTTTCCAGCAGACATTAACCTCCTACTTTACCATGCTCCAAATAACTATTGAAGAAAAATGTCATGTATGAACTTGTCTCATTGACCTTTTTCTGGAGAGCAAATGTAGGCAGGCAAGGACAAGGAGAGAAAACATATGAAGACATCCAATTTGGCACCATATTTGACATGCGTACTTTTACCCACCTGTTCAGATCATATTGCACATTTTGGGTCAGGTCTATGTTGAGCAGTATAAAATCATGTATGTGGCATCTGGAAAAGGGAACTTTGAGTGCTCTAGAATTCAATTTGCTCTTCCATTTTTGGATTCCCAATATTGCATAATGGACAATTTTGGGTGTGGCTTCAATATGCTGTAGAACACTCTTTAGAGATACGTTTTTACTGGTTGATCCTTGATCTATACACTGACTACTGAAAGGCAAAAAGCCAAAAAACTGGGTAGATTAAAGCACAGTGATAACTACAACACATACATGAAGATAATATGCTTAGGAAATGAACATAGAAAATGGTACAACAAATGCTATTGGATCACTGTGAATCAGACTTAAGCTGCTATTCTACAGTCTTTCAGTCTTTTAAGCTAATCAAGAAGTGGCTATTTTTATGAAGATTCTTGTACTGGACGCCTTAGGAGGCTTCCACATAGCACCATTTTCACTCCCCAATATCTCTCAATTGTTTTCAAGCAACTGTGCGATTGTCTTGACTCCTCCAGATTTCAGCATGTAGAAAATGGACAAGGAATGCCATAAGCTAAACAATGTTTTATATCTGAACAACAAAAGAATGCAAAAAACATATCATGTCCTCAATGCATCATTCCAACCATTTCCATTTTGGAAGAACAAAATTATCTTACACACTCTATGTCCGGGAAAAGGGAAACAAAATAAATTATTTGCAACCATCTCCAATTCATATTTTCAATTCTATTAAATCAAATTCATTAATGGACACATACAACCGCATTATGATATTGAATAATGGCTTTAAAAAGATAAGATAAAAACCACTGAATACACTTGAGATTATCCTTAGCATATTGCCCTTTATTTTTTTTTAAAAAGCTGTCAAACAGTAGATATAACTAAAGTACTGAACAGTGTTTCAAGCATTTTAGTTACTTTGGTGCAATATTTATATGATGAAGGTTTCCTAATAAAGCAAAGGTGCCATCTTACTAATCCTATCCTGTGTCATAAAATATCCCATTTTAGATGCCTAAAGGAATATCTATTTCATGTTATCAAATATCATCATCAGAGCAAACTGGCCCTTTCTTGCCTTGAACCAGTGGATATGACATTAGGACTGATCCAAGATTTGTTTCCTAGTTATTAGTGCCACATCAGCTTTGAGAAACTTACCTAGATTGTTCTTGGACAACATGACTGTTCCATAAGACACAAGAATCATCCATTACAACAATAAATGGCCAAACACACTGACGTTTAACTCCCAGTTCCTCCAAACGATTTCTTTCCAGTTCCAGGTTATGATAAGAAAGCTCTTTAATTAGGAATCTCGCAGCACCTGAAAATAGGTAACAGGGAGACTGGTATTTCTAATTTTTTGAGTGGCAAAAATGGGCTTGCATGAAAAATCCAAAGAGGAACAGATTTTAAATTAAAGCTAGATCAGTGTTTTTCAACCTCAGCAACTTTAAGATACAAAGTAGGATTTGTTCTTTCTTTTTTCTTAGTTTGTATTTTCAGTTTGCTTCTCTATTTTTTCAACTTTTTAAAAAATTTAAACAATACAGCCAAAAGATGAACAGAGGTAGATTCAAGCATTTTGTATTGACTCATCAGTACCTGCATTACAATAACACAGTTAAAATTATCCTCAAATATAAGATCTAGCAAGAGTATTAATTAAGCCTATAACATATCCAGGAAAGCAACCAATGGCCAGCCACCTTGCATGCGTAGAAACGGCTTTATGTCAATCTACGCCCCATGTGGGGCTGATTTTAATTGTGTTATTCTAATGTAGGTACTGATGAGTCAATACAGAATGCTTGCATCTACCTCTGTTCGTCTTTTGGCTGTATTGTTTAAATTATTAAAAGGACTGTTTTAAGTTTTTTCAAGTTTAAAGATTATTTTGTTAATTGTGCATCTATAATTATTTTTATAAAAATAAATTCTTTTAAAAAGTAATAAAATGTACATGAATTTAACAATAGAAATAAGCAAGCTTACTTTTAAAGATGCTACAAAGAAGGGAAATTACTACTATTTAAAAGTTTACTGATAACTAGACTGAAATCTTTTTATACAACATGTCCTTATTGTGGATTTTTATCTTCTTTCTGTCTTGCAAACAAAAGGAAAATGCCATCTTCTAGACTTTTATCTTGTCTTACTCACCAACTCCTGCATTGTTGAACATGCCAGGTAGAACCAGCATGATATGGTTGGGCCAATATTTGCGGTAAAGTGGCATTTCATATTCCTTGACCACAAGAAGATGGAGGTGGCTGATGCCTTCCATGGCATGATAAAGATTCAAGAGACCATGTTCATGACGTCCACTTGAAGGTGTAAAAATAGGACTCTTTACTGCATTCAAATTCTGCAGGATGACAAGCCAAAGGAAATATAATGTGTCTCATATATGTGCGCATTGTCCATGATTTTAAGGTTACTTTTATTACACCAGTCTACCAGAGCCTTCACCTCTCCACTATAAGCATCTTCACTGTTGTCCCAGATAAGACCCACGACGTGTCATCCGCATACTTCACAATATGATTCGTAGAAGATTTGGCACAGCAGTCGTGGGTCATCAAGGTGAACAGTAGCGGACTCAAGACACAGCCCTGTAGTGGACCTGTACCAGTGGTGGGATTCAAAATTTTTTACTACCGGTTCTGAGGGCGTGGCTTGGTGGGCGTGGCAAGGAAAGGATACTTAAAATTGCCATTCCCATCTCACTCCAGGTGATGGATACTGTAAAATCTCTATTCCCTCCGACTCCAGGGGAAGGTTACTGCAAAATCCCCATTCCCTCCCAATCAGCTGGGAACCGGGAGGCAGAGAATAGATGGGGGTGGGGTCAGTCAGAGGTAGTATTTACCGGTTCTCCAACTACTCAAAATTTCCGCTACCGGTTCTCCAGAACTGATCAGAACCTGCTGAATACCACCTATGACCTGTACTCAAGGAGATGGCGTTGGAAACTTTTCTTCCAACTTGCACAAACTGAGGCCTATCAATAAGGAAATCAATCCTTACTTAAATCAATACTTGTATGTATCTATATAATTCACCACCTCAGTCAAAACACATTTCACTAACCTTATCAGACACAAGAGGAAGACGCATGCTTTCCAAATGTCTGCCCTGTTTACTGAAGACAAAATAGTTTTCTTTGGATTTAGGAATGATAAAATGTAGCTGAATCTCTTCTCCTAACATTGAGGATGAGAATGTAAAGGCATGTAGGGTAGAATCAGACATCTGCACACAAGGGAGAAAAAGATATTGTAACACACTAAAGAGACCAACTTGTAATATTAACCAGCTTTAGTTTATGAGGCTATATTATCAAATGTTATATTGTATATGTGGGCAGCGTATTTGGATTACTCTTATGAAAATCTTATCAGCAAAATAGGGTCTATTTTCAATAAATGAGATTTTGCATGCTGTTTGATTCATCTTCATTTTGCATCACAATTTAGGATAAGAATGTTTTCATATTGCTGGTAAAACGTTTCCCATCGTCCAATACCAAGGAATATTGGCTAAAGCTATGTAATGCTTTCAGAAAAGATGTTTCACAACACACAGAAATATGAATATAGCATTTATCTACAATATAGATAAATGTTTCTGACATCACATGAATACAGCAGATACCTGTACAATCCCATAAAATGACACAACTGAGTTAATAAGTAATCAGTAGTGCTGTGTTCATATTCCTATGTTTTTTCAAGAACCTTTTCCAACAAAAGCTAAAGCATCTGTAGTCATGTATTTAACATACAATAGCTTTTTCCAAAAGAGACAAACACCTTATAAATTGCAAAATGCTTTCAATATTTTAATCACTATTCCATTCTGTTCTCATAAAAGCATCACTCTTAGTAACCATTTTTTTCCATCAATGGGACCCTGATGGAAAAAAATAATGCCTGCTAGATGGAAGCATTGCATACCGAAGGTGAAGGATTTGTGTCCATATATTGATGGCACTGTTCACAGTGGTGGAAAGTATTGTAAGCTGCGTACTTCGTCAGCATCATAGAAACAGTATTACGCTTTCTGAATTCTTCAACTTTGACTTCTCTGTTGGGTTCTGTGAAGAAAGGCAATGAAAGGGAAACAGCCAAATTAACAAATCCTAAAAATTATTTGCTAAAATACTCCAATAAAATTTCTGAAAATCTAGGTAGAAAGAAGAAACTATAATTTAGTGTTCCCTCACCCTGCTTTATTTTTTGCAGTTGCTCTGTGTAGACTGGACTCATAAGAACATATTTGGGATCATGCACACTGAGATCAAAATTCATTTTACTGACAATTTCAACGTCAGGCCACTGATCACTGCCAGCCTGGGCAATTTCATTTTCTTCCACGTGATCTAAAACAAAATATGAATAACTAGTTAATACTCAAATCATAGTTTTGTGTTATCTAATTTCCTCATACAGATTACAATATTTTCAGTAAATATTACAATAACAATGTTAAGTATATAAAAACTATGAAGTGTTTTAGAGAAATTAGATAAATGTTTCTAAAAATAATATTTTATCATCAGGGAAAATGTTGGTCAAGAATAATTTGATATTCCTACTTCTGATTTGTCATTACTTCCTCCACTTTTTTGTGTTAATACAAGGTCAAATTTGTATTACTAGAGTTGGTTTTCTCTTTTCAGAGTACTCTGTAAGCTTCACACATATTAAAGAGAACTGTCTTGAGAAATTAGAACAGAGGTCCTTAGTACTCACTGATATTAATATCTTCCTCATCATATACGTCTACCTCCAGCAATCTGATCAGCATTCGAAAGAGAATTCGTAGGAATTGCAGATAAGAGCCAGTTTTCCCAACCTAAATAATAATAAAAAACAGCTTCTAAAAATATACTATCAGAAAGGTATATTCATTTTGTTCTGGGATCTGCTGCTTCAATCATTTCAAAAAATAATCACTGTTCAAGCTGTGACAAACAAAATATGCATGGCAATACAATACACTTTAGAGCACCAAGTTTCTATTAAGTGGGGTTTCAGAATATTAATTTTTTAAAATAAAAATTGACCTATCTTGTTGCACAATTAATTTTTCAAAATTAATAGTTATGCCTCAAAGTTATTTTAGATAAAGTTCTGGGATGTTAATAATTCATGAGCAGCTTATAAAATCAAATCATCTTCACAGAAATCTTGTTTAATTAATGTTTGGTTGCTCAAAATTTCATTGCTGTAATTTACTGAAGATTCAGTGATTTCTTGCAGGTAAGAAAATTACATGCTTACATTTGGACTTATTCAACAAAACAAAGATTCAGATTATAACACCTTCAAATGAATTATTTGATTCAAATGTTGTTATCTAATATTATTTAAATCAACTTCATACATAATCAATCAGCTCTTCTTCTCTTAGTGGAAATAAAATGCTCAATAACATTATTTCATTTATCCATTCTATTTTTCCTCACTATCCAATATCAAATATTGGATTTAACCAATTCAGGACTCATTCATTCATACAACTATACTACCAGTTGCTGGAAATTATTTTTATTTAAATCAGGTTTTTATCCATTTTTAAAAGAACAGAGAGCTTTTCAAGTCATACGCCTCATGTAAAGTTCATCACTTATTTTAAAAAAACCTCTTTTCACTAAAACTTGTGGGAGGAACATGACAATTGTACAAGTCTAACATGAACTAAATTGTTACAGTAATTGTGAATTACTACACATTGTAATTTTTCCTATAAATCTATGAACTCCAAGCTTTCACATAAAGCACCAAAAATGTTAGAACTTGCAAATGTTGTCCGTGTACTGAGGTGAGTAGAATTTATTATCATTTGTTTAATAGCCTTTATCACTGTGAAAAGAAAATCACTGAATGATCAGGGACCTTAACAAAACGATCCATTCATTTTGAATTGCTGGAAAGGTATTACTAATCATCTCAGAGGTTTCATCAACCTTGGAAATTAATAGTCTCTGATACTGTCTTTATAGGGGGTGGCCTGATGGCTCAGTGGTTAAGACATTGGGCTTCTCAACTGAAAAGCTGACAGCCCAGATACGAGACATGAGTGCTGCACAATGTGGTGAGCTCTCATTACACGCCCCAGCTTCTGTCAACCAAGTTGAGTAGATAATTAAGTACTGCTTCAGTGGGAAGGTTACTGCATTCTGTATTTTTACGCTGCCCATATGATGATGGAAGCATCTCTCAGGCTTCCTTGACTAAGAATCAGAGATGATTACTGGCCCCTTGAGTCAGTCATGACTGGATGGGGGATACCTTTAAACCTTGATTTATAAAATGAAAGTGGCTTCCTCAAAAAACTGTTGCCCTAAAACTAAGATGAAGTCTTAGGTGAGGGCTGAAATTATTTCAGTGGATAAAGTTTGGATGATCAACTGTTTCCTGCTTTATATATTATTTTCAAGAAGCTTCAGTTATATTTTTGTGGACAAAATTTATTATAAATATTAAATAGACCCCAATCTCCACCATGTTCTTATATAAAGAAAATAATATTTTGTATCCCTGACTACAGATTTCCCCTTGCCTGCAGGAAATAGATGTATGTCATCAACAAGCATAAATATGCAAGGACCAAAAGGTTCTTTTAAAAATTATTACTCAGCTGTAAAATCTAAAAATATGTCCTATAGCATTTGATTGAAGACTTTGTGAGATTTGGGGCATATGATATGAGCAGATGATAAATCAGGGGGAAAAAAACCTCAATTATGAAGTTAAGACTGAGGCAGTAGAAGAAAGGGAAAACAATAGCTAAGGTAGAAACATGGAATCAAAAGGATCCCTGGAATTCCTTGCAAAAGCTGCAAGCCAAAGATTTATCAAGAAGGTCAACATCTTTCCTTGCAATGACCAACAGTCCAGTCCAACTCAATGGCACCCAACTATATGATAATAATTACTACTGTTTCTACTTATGCTAAGTATCAGAAATCTATTTGAAGCTGAGCTTCTGCAGTAGCTCATACTCAATAGGAAGAAATACTGTGAAATTCATTGACTATATTTGCACATATTGATAAATTGAGATTTGCTGTTTACTCTATTAGTGACTCTTTCCACAAGTAACTCAAACTAACAAGTAGGATATATAATATCTATAACCAGGCTTCAGAATACTTGTTTCCTGTATATTACCCCAATTAATTTGGAATTGTCCTAATTTATAATTGTAATTCTAGATTTTTCAGGAACAATTAACTAGAACTCTGGTTTAGATAGCAATAAACTTTAGCCCTTCCTAGTTATTTTTTATTAATGTCCATAAAGGAAGGACACAGTCATAGAAACAAGCGGGCATGCACTAATTTGTTGCTCATTCTTACAAACATGCAGAAGCATGCAAAATTCTGTTAAGAAACACAGAGAGTTAAGTAACCTGACACCAGCTCTGCTCTGAATCCAGTGAAGATGCCACCACATCTGCTCTGAAGCATAGATTTCATGGCTTGATTATACATAGGTTGAAAGAGAAAAAAACCCAGAATAGTGTGCAAATATCTCTGGAAGGTCATTGGTTTGGGGCCCAACTGACATCAAAAGAATTATATTTTCACTGCAAGGATGTAATGATTCACATTATAATTGAAGCATTTAATATTACAACCTGGAATAAAAGTTTCCAGGGAATTTACATGCTCCAAATACCACAGTGGCTTATAAATTATATTTCCCAAGGTGTATTTTATTATTAATAAATGTGAATTACTAAATATTTTATTCCTTCTTATTTTGTAACAGCACCTTCCTTAACCTGCTTAGATGTTTTAGGAATTTGTACTTCCAGAATTCCTAGCCAACACAACTTAAAAGTGGGAAATCTCAGGCACATCTTTCCAACTCATCTGGAAGAAGCCAGCCTAGAGAAGTCTGTTCTGCTCCATAATGTCTATTTACCTGAGGTGGCCCTGTAAGAAGTAGCCGTCGTGGATGAAAACTCCTGCTGCTAGTAGTTTCACCATGGTTGCTGTAGTCTGCATGGTGTTGCCGTGCAGCAGTCCACTGTCGATAGTAAAGAGACTGCTCTTCACTGGTCATATCCTTGTGAAGCAAAGGCCTCAGCGAGCTCACCCAAGACATGTCAGCATGAGGTAACAAAGCAGAAGAGAAAGGTGTCTGGCCACTTTTCTGTGAGCCAAGGAAACAATAGGCAGCTTTTGACAAAATCACAATTCGGGGTAAGCATATGTGCATTGTCTTGCAATTTTTCACTGGCTGGTTAGGCCATCGGAAGGTCTGGCTGACCGAAGGGGAAGCTGATGACAATTTAGTCGTGGTGCTGCTGGCTATCTGGTTGGCTAGAGAGTCACATTCTTGTTTCAAAGACTCCCCAGCAGCACAGCCTTCATCAACAGAGCTAGTGGCAACATTCTGGAAGTTCATAGACTGTGACAGTTTTTGAGACTTGTCTGTTGCACTGGAGGAGCTCACTCCATTTTCTGCTATAGATCCTGGAAGGTAGATTGAAAGGAAGGAAAAGGAAGGCCTGAAGGATATTCAGTAACATATAATGCATAATACATTTTCCTGCAACTTCTACACCAAAAATATCCTGCTTACATCTGGAGCTTTGAACAAAAGTTCAGGAGAGGATAGGTAAATAGATGTGAACAGAGAATGAATTCTATAGTACACATTTAAGGACATGCAGAAATGTAAACAGTCCATATCATCACATTCCTACAATTTGTAAAAGGTATAGGAATCTGTCATCAGCAAAAATGCATCAGGAATCAGCAAATGTTTAATGTGTAACCATCATTCCACAAAATATCTTCACAAATAAGATAATATTTTGAATAATTTTCTAAAAGATACATTACAAATGGCTAGAAACTGTGAAATATTGTAACGTAAGATTCATGCAAGATTTATGTATCACAAAATTTCAGCCATGTAATCGAGAAATGTGTCATTGTAGTGCCATGCTGTAAAACTATTAGTGTACAATGTTTAGATGGCAAGGATTCATGTACAACAAAATACTATCAATTTTTTTCTTCACCAGCCCTATGATATTAATAGCAACTAGAAAGCCAACAATTAAATATAATTTGCACTATGAAGGCAGCAATGATAAAAACATATTGTCTTTTGTCAACCAATTCCAACAAGTCTAATTTTTTCCAAATTTCAAATACAATGATCTAAAAAGGAACATCTAATGAGAGTATAATTTCCACAGACTTAGGGCTACCAGTCTGGGTTGCAAAAATCCAGATGATCTTTATATGGCAGTAAAGATAGCAATTTTTTTGCATCTCTTTGGTGCCCTCTAATGGGTATCTGGATTTTTGTAGTCAAATACCCAGCACAAATCTTATACAGTAGAATAAGAACAAGAATCCTGTCCAGGAAGGAAAGAACAGATCTGAGTCAGGGTTTGATAAACATTTTGGGGTCATGGTCACATCAATATTTATTATTTTGTCAATGAGATTATAATTCTTGGAACAAAGTTTTTTTCCTCTTTTCACAAGTATTTTATTCTAACTACAGCATGTCTGAAAGAGACTTTCACTGTCTTCAGAGCTCAACAGATATTTGAATAAAAACAACTTTAGTATTAGTTCTACATACCCTGGCTAGTATGTTCACTTTCTAGACAAGAAAAAAAGCACAATAGACCAAGATTCTCTCTGCTATTCAGCTGGCAGCAATGATTGTGCCATCCCTGCTCACTGAGCTATAGTCAATAAAGGTCAAAATTAGTCCACATCAGGAAAAATATATCTAATATTGGCTTAGAAAATAAATATCTTTTTTTTTCCAAAATGCTAATTGGAAGAATGTTTCAGCCTTCCACTTATATTCAAGGCTATTTGAAATCCTGCATAAAGAAAAAGATATCCACTACTAATACTATGCAGTTACCTTCAAAGTATCTCAGACAAGAGGGATGCTATATTTAGATTCCATTATAGCAACTTACCAATTTCCTGGAAGTCAACTGAATGCTAACTATGGTCCTATGTCTAGACAAGATAAAGTGGCCATTCTAGGGGTGGACTGGAACAGGCAGGAGCCACTCTAGCCCAACAACTTTGTTGTAAGAAAGATAGAAAACTTAAGGTTTGAGATCTATAAGCAGTTCCTGAGCCCTTTTCTGAGGCAGAGACACCATCAACCTAAGTGATCATTAATTGGCAAGGGTTTCCTACTATTTTAAGGGAAAAATAAAAAAAAATATTCTGGAAGCCTTAAAGCAGAGTTTTTTTTAAATCCCATTTTTAAAAGACTAAAAACCAAAGGAATAAAATGAAACTTACAAAATTCATGCTTCAAACCTAGGAAATTAGCCCCTGTGGGGCTACCTTTATGTGTGATGCAGTCCTTGCCAGTTATGGCCCTCGTTTGCCTAAACATATTAAAGGCCACCTCTGACCATTCAATGCAACCTTAGAATCAGGCATTTGAGCTAACTAGCCACTCCAGAGAACGTCACAATTTCAGTTCTCACCTGAGGAGTATCCAAGATCCTAATAGCAATGAGTAAAGGGACTACAGTGGCTGCCTCTCGCATGTTGACATGGGCGAATCTCATAGCCACCTTACAAGGCTTCATTCTGCTAAGGGCAAACTATATTGATTGGATGAATGTCTCATTAATAAGTGAGGGAGGAAACTGTGATAACTCTGAGGATGGCTATAACACTTCCACTTTAAATAATGGCTCCTCTTGAACTGCCTTTGCATTCCCATTTCACCTCTTTCATCTCCATCCCCTCCATTCTGAAATAATAAATCTGGATTGTATTAAAACTTCACCGATATCCATTCTGTTTTCCACTTGTCCTAGACTCTCCTAAAAATTACTGTGTTTTTTCTATTTTATTATAACCTGCAAACCTTGTTCTGCTATATCCTGGATTAGCAGTGCCTCCTGGACAAAAGGCATTCACTACAAGCTACAGCACTGTGAATGATAAAATTAAGAACCAACCTGAAGTTCCAGTCACAGCACTGCTGTTACTTTGTGGCCTCTCCAAGTCAATCAACAGCTCATCAGTATCATTCTCACCAATGCTGGTCTTCTCTTGCTCCTTTTCACTAAGGTCAAGAGCTACAATAGGTCCTCGAACTGCCTCCTTGGAAACATAGCAGCATGCTAGGCCTACTTCTTGTTCTAAGGCTGTGCGAGTTAAATAGCTTGAATCAATCAGTCGAAGATCACAGTATTTCAAAGACCTGGGGGGGGAAAGCAATATAGAAAGACTCGCTGAATGATGAGGTTGTCGTTTAAAGTGATAAGTGAACCATATGCACAAGGCAGGAGGAGTTTGGTTTTTTTGAGTTTTTATTTTAACTTTGCTAATAAAATTAAAAAACATTGAAAAAAAGGACAGACTTTTTACACAAATAAAATAAACTGCAAATGAACTGTAGTGCTTTATAAAATATGAACTTGTCAGAGTTGTTTGGTTGTGATATTTAGGATATACAGGCAGTCACCATGATTTTTCAACATTCTGTCAAACCACATTTTGTCTAATTACTAATCCGTGTTTTTGTTTGTTTGTTTGTTTAAATTAGGGTTTTAAATTATAAGACTAGATGGATCATTTCCTCAAATCAATGGAGAAATCTAATGCTTTTTATTAATATGTTTAATTAGATTCTCTTCATCTAGTTTTAGGATTTGTGTGGAGATCAGATTGTAGGTCATATTTATGCAAAAATATTGAAAGTTCAAAGATATTCACAAACTTTTATGATACTTTGTGCATCTATGGATATCTCTCCTCAGAATCTTCCAGGCATCAGGATCATTACTAAAAATTCTGGGACTTGAATCCCATAAACTAGGCAGCAATCAGATTGGTAAAAACTAACTTCTAGCAGTTTATAGCCAGCAATGTGCAGCAGTTGCCAAAAAAGCCAACACAGTTCTAGGCTGTATAAACAGAGGGATAGAATCAAGATCACGTGAAGTGTTAATACCACTTTATAATGCCTTGGTAAGGCCACACTTGGAATACTGCATTCAGTTTTGGTCGCCACGATGTAAAAAAGATGTGGAGACTCTAGAAAGAGTGCAGAGAAGAGCAACAAAGATGATTAGGGGACTGGAGGCTAAAACATATGAAGAACGATTGCAGGAACTGAGTATGTCTAGTTTAATGAAAAGAAGGACTAGGGGAGACATGATAGCAGTGTTCCAATATCTCAGGGGTTGCCACAAAGAAGAAAGAGTCAAACTATTCTCCAAGGCACCTGAGGGTAGAACAAGAAGCAATCGGTAGAAACTAATCAAGGAGAGAAGCAACTTAAAAACTGAGGAGAAATTTCCTGACAGTTAGAACAATTAATCAGTGGAACAACTTGCCTCCAGAAGTTGTGAATGCTCCAACACTGGAAGTTTTTAATAAGATGTTGGATAACCATTTGTCTGAAGTGATGTAGGATTTTCTGCCTAGGCAGGGGGTTGGACTAGAAGACCTCCAAGGTCCCTTCCAACTCTGTTATTCTATTCTATTCTAGGCCTTATTTTTGGGGAGGCCTTATTATTTTTGATGTGCAGGAAGCGACGAGTGTGGTCACCTCATGGCTGTTGCTGTGTTGCAATATTATCGGGGAGGGATTATTTTCGGGGGAGGGATTATTTTAGTGCATACACTCTAAAGTCTAATGGGGCTTATTATCCAGGAGGTCTTATTTTGGGGAAAACAGGTATGAAAATTCTATCTGTATTACTGAAGACATATGCTGGCTTCTTCTATATGTTATACTTAGGTTTGATAACAAACTGTGATCTTTGGGATTTGAAACTCAATCAGATATTTTTTTTCAATCAATACTGTCTATTTTCACAACTGCCTGTAGTTGCATATGATTTTTCACTTCAATTATAAGACAGAAAAATTACAAATGTGATGTTGAAGATTACCAGATTGTCACCTAAAGAAAGAATTGGAAATATTTAGATATTTTAGGAAGCTTTTATATTTGCACTATAGAGTAACTCAACATACCTGGGAAATGTTTCTCCTAATGGATCCTTGCCGGTTAAAACAACAATGCAAGGTAGACCTTCTAAATCTTGGTACGTATGAGGAAACCAATCATCTTCTTCATTTCCTCTCCATGCCTATGAGAAAGAATAACAAAAAAGCTTTCAATCTCATTAAGGTTGTTTTTATATGAAAAAAAAATCCTAGTAGAGGATAGCCATCAAAAAGTAGAAAAAGTCTGTAAGCAGCAGGAAATGTATACAAATTGAAACTCTTGCATTAGAAATCTTCTACAACTCAACTCCCAGAGCCAAAACAATGAAAAGTAAACTATGGCAGTTTCAAATAGTTGTTCCTTTCTTCCTTATACAAATGAAGTTACGGCATTTTTCAAATCTCAAGTTCTTTTTTTAAAAAATTGCATTTCCCAGGTCTTTGTCTCCTTTACTAGGATGCAGCCATACTGGCTGTTTTGAAGGTCAGAAGACATGACTGAGAACCTTCAGAAACTCCATGGCGGAGAAAATTATTTTTGACAGAGAATCTATGTGGTTTCTTCTTCGCGCTCTGTGGTAGCTCTGAAGTTGGCAGGTAAAAATGGCTACATTCACACTAGGCAAGCTTATGAATTAGCATTATGTGTGATCTGTCTTTAAATCTTGCCATGTTTGGTACAAATTTCATCTGTTGTACAAACAAACCTACAAAAAATTAGTGTGTGTGGCGGGGTACATAACTAAACCCTACACAAAAAATATTCAATGTCTGATGATCTATTATCAGAGTCTGCCAATAGCACTTGAACAAGTACAAGCGGATCAGAATACTTTCATGTCTCTCAGTTAATATTCATAATTTGTGGCCATAATTCTGCAACATAGTTTTCTTTGTTTTATAAAATATATACAGTTTCATTAAAGAAGAGAGAAAGCCAGTATTATATCCCCCTACTATATCCTGCTTCTATCCAATAGAACATCTCTGTCGCTTTGCCATAAGAAGTTTAACAGAGAAATCAAACAATGGGTTGCTCTATGCTTCCATGCAAGCTTAGCACACATAAACAAGCCTTTGAAGCTAACCTTTAATCTTTTCACAAAGTGCTTGGCAACCATAAGCTCTGAAGCTGGGTTCCCCAAAATGATCTCAAAACGATACTGTAGACCTAGTTTATCTCGTGCTTCTTGCAGCCTCTCTTTTGCCAGCATTGCCAGTTGCACAGAAGGAATTCGGATCACTAACATGTGGCCGCAGCCATTCTTATCCTTGCCAGGAGCAGTGATGATATCATCCATTATGCTGAGCGTTTCTGGTGTGCTGTGGTCTCTTAGTGAGGACATGGTAGTGAGAGCCATCAAGGCTTCCAAATACTGCTGAATGAGGAGGTAGCAACGAATCACCATACTGTGCAGCCTGGGATACCTTGAAAGGATAGAGGTTTTTTTTTAGTAATTTTGATATAAACATATCTGGCATGAAAGATGATACTTCTATTCTGGATAGTTGGAGTCCCCTGTGCTGTGTTGTGGGCATATAAGCAATGTGTTTAAATATATATTTTAATTTGAAGGTAGAGATCACACAGATGATCTCTAGTAGAAACAATCTAAGCAAATACAAGAATTTCCCACGGAAGTAATATTACTATTTATAAATATTTATTTATTATTATAACCTCCAACCAACATGGTCCTACAGGCTGAAAATTCTGGTGTTTGTATCCCAACACAGCCAGTACTATAGGGTTGGAAAAGGTGCCTTAGTATTTTTATAACTGAACTTATTCCTGACTTATACAAAGAGTACTGGAAGAACCCAAAGACTAGGTGGTTTATGAACAGCAATCCCCTTAATGAATGGATGCTTGAAAGCAAACCAATAGTGCAATCTAAGTGAACGCTTTGATTTATCATAATTTTCAAGCTTACCACAAATTATTAAATGTCCTTTTGGCACCTTAGAGACAAATAAATGTATTATTACAAAAACCTATGGCCCCTTTAATCAAATGTGTGTGTGTGTGTGTTTGTGTGTGTGTGTGTGTGTGTGTGTATGTGTGTGTATGTGTGTGTGTGTATGTGTGTATGTATGTATGTATGTGTGTGTATATATATATATGTGTGTGTGTGTGTGTGTGTGTGTGTGTGTTTTCTATTTGTGCTGATAACGGATAAGAGCCTGTGGCCTAATGGCTAAGAAGT